TTTTCTCTTTTTTTCTTAGTAAGCCTGGCTAAGGGTTTGTCGATTTTGTTTATCTTCTCGAAGAACCAACTCTTTGTTTCATTAATCCTTTCTATCCAACAATTTTTTTAAGTGGTAGGGTGAACATGTAATGGTAATATGTCAAAAATGTTGAAGCTGGGTAATAGGTATACTGGACTTCATCACTCCATCCTCTCCACTTTTAGTATGTTTTTAATTTTTCATATTAATGAGGTTAGAGGACAATAAAAGATCGCAAAACTGAGAGGGGGGAAAAACATACAAGAAAAAGGGGCCCAAAGCTCACAAGAGAGGTCAGGGCTGAAGACTGCTGTGGATGTCATCAGAAGATAGGTAATACGTGAAGCCAAGTCTTTGGAGAGTATCATATAAGGAAAGAGGAAAAAGTCAGCAAAAAGAGATCAGAGAAGTGAAGCCAGTGGAATACCAATATTCAAAGACAGGGCAGAGAAATATGAATCTGAGGAGGATATCAAAAAGAGGAATGTCAGTGGTGTGGGAAGAGAACTAAAAGAAAAACTGAATCAGGGACACCAAGGCGAGAAAGTTTCTAAATAATAATAACCACTAAGTACTCTTCTTATGCCCCCAAATTTCCAATCTAAGAGAAAAAAAAAACATTTGTGTTTTTCTAATAGAAGAATTTCAGAAGGTTGAGAGATATAATTATCTTCATATTTGCTAAGCTGTACAGTTTCCCCGATACTGAACAAGATGTTCAGAAAATATTAAAGTCATATACCCACTAGCACCAAATTGCTACCTAGCTAGTCTGCGACAGTGGAAGATAGAATACCAAGGGCCAGAACAGCTATAAAAAAATAAATAAAATATTGACACTGGCCATAAAGAGTTCTCTGGAGAAGAGTCACTAAACTAGAAGCTCCCTAAAGGTAAGAGGACGAGCGGCCCTAATCCTCCCTGTATGCCCAGATTCCAGCATGATGCCAGGTGCCATGTTTCTACATTGCTAGAGTCCCAACAGGGTGTGGAAGGGGGAAGGTGTAGAGGAGATGGCTGACATTGATGATGCCCAATATTGTTGGCCTTTTGAGCCACAGTTATATATTAGACCAATCTAGTGCTCCTGGATCCCTTTCTAATTACAAGGATAAATAACAGAGCTTTTCCTTTCTTACCCAGAGCTTGAATAACTTATTCCCAAATGTATACCTTTACATTGCTGCTCTCACAAATAGTTGTACCTTTTTATAGTTGATTCCTAATACTTTAAAGAATTTACTGTTATCCACAGCCTTGAAAATGTCTCTCTCAAATAATTTATTAACATATTGAATGTAATACAAAATGCAAAAGCATATATATTTTAAGGTACCCTTACTTCAATCTTCTATTATTTACTCTCTTGATTTTCAATACACTAAGGTTAAAGACATATTTTTGTTTGCAGGGCAAAGTCCCACCTAATATGAATCTCTACCCTTACATCATAAACACTCTATATCATATTAATCAATAAAAAGTTCAAATAAGTCTCTGTGTTTTCCACAGACCAAACACACAAAGAGGAAAATTTTCCAGCCTTTCTGCAGCACGTGTATTTTTTTATTATTTCCAGGTATATTCTGAAATTCTATAAAGTGCAAAAAAAAGTCTCAGCTCAGGATTTTTTAAATTCTTATTAGACCCTTTTAAACTTTTATCTAAGCCCAAGATTAAAAAGTATAATTCTAAAATGTCTTAGAATTGGGAATTAAAAGTTCAAAACTTACATTCAAGCTGTGCAACCACATCTCCAGGGTCTACTGCTTCAGGGAACACCTTAGTGAGAGAACGGAGAGGGAAGCAGGATGGAGAAGTGGAAGTGAGAGAAAGATATATATAAAACAGTCGTTGTTTTTTTCCCCTCTCGTTCCCAAAACATTCCTTTCCCAACCAAAGAAACTTGACATCATTGAGAACTGTCACTTCCCCTGTGCTTCCCATGATCACTATGGAAGATTTATTATAGCTGGCTCCGCCTCCCTCTCCAACTTCGTCTGCTAGCACTCTTCTTCCCTTTGTTTGTTACCATGGTCATACTGGCCTTCGTGGTGTTCCTCCACCTCATCAAGCTTATTCCCAGGAAGAAGCCTTTATATTTGCCATTCCTCTGCTTAGAATGCTTTTCCCCCAGACCTTCAAATAATTGATACTGTCTCATAATTCAGGCTCAGCTTAGTAATACTACTGCTTTCTCTGACCATCCTTTAAAACAGACAATCCTCCTAATCCCTCAGTCCCTCTCTGTCCCCTTACCCTCCCTTATTCTCTTCATGACACTTATCACTATCTAAAATTATATTATTTGTATGTTTACTTGATTATTGTCTGTTTCTCCTATTACAGTGAAAGCTCCAAGAGGGAAGGATGCTTGTCTTGTTTACCTAGTGCCCAGAACAGTGCACAAAACAGAACGGGAACTGGGTAATTATTTGTGGAGGAAAGGAAGAAGGAAGGAAGGAAGGGAGAGAAGGAAAGAGGGAAATAAAAAAGTGAGAAATATGATTGGTAATAATTAACCAAAAGCAGCAGTTTTAGAGGAAAAAAAGAAAAGAGACCTGTAGAAAGAAGTAACAAAAGACAGCCATAAGTAAAATATGACCTATTCTTACCTATTAATGTCTCCTCTCTTATCTTTTTTATGAAAATGATTACTTAGAATTCAAGGTGCTATATTTTACATAAAGCCCACTAACACAATTTTAGAAATAAACTGATCTATCACAAATAAGGCAATTGATTCAATGCGTTATATAACGCATATTTATTTTCAAGCTTCCAGATTTAAGTTACAAAACTCCTTGTGAATTAAGTCAAAGTATATAGTCAGCAATAATAATGTGTCTTCTGGGCTTTTATTCAAAATTTAGAAGTGCTTTGATTTTTTTTTGTTAATATTTGATCTGATATTTGAACTCACCTTTTCAAACACCATTCTGGCATTGAAGACCAGTGGAAAAGTGGCTGGGACACATTGTGTCTTTTTGTATTGGCCAAACACACAGATGCTAAGATAGATGTCCTCCTTGTCTTTCAGTAGCACTCCTGGACAAGTTACCTGAAAGAAATTAGATAGATGGATGTAACTGCTTTATGAATTCCTTCAACTATCCTACTAAAATAACTTATAAAACATTACATAAAGAGAGTAGTCTGTTAAGCTAATAAAATACACACACAAAAAAGAGAGAGAGATTCTAGTGTTTACAGAGTTAAATGAAATGCCTTTATAACATCCATCTCTCTGAGAAATCTATGATTTTTCCATTTGGTTATTTGTGCCACATTCAAAGCTCTATGTACTGTGCCACATTCAAAGCTCTATGTACTGGCTCTTGGGACAGACACTAACAGTTATAAACAGTCAGCCTTAGGCGACCACTTTATGCTGAATGCTGACATAACCTTATTCAGCATCATTTAATCACAAAGGATTAAACTCAGCAGAAATAAAGCACTATACTAGAGGACAAAAAAAAAAATACCCATAAAAAGCACAAATCTGACCTGTATTACCCTAACTAGCAGCCCATACACACTCATGAAAAGTAATACGACAAAATTTCAAAGCTAGTGAATTATAAGTTTCTAGCCCAATGAAATATTTTTTAAATATGAAATTGCACTTAACTATCCTCATGATTGACAGAAAGTATAGGCATAAAATGTGGGGTTTCTGAAAAATACACAGCACTGTCTCTCCAGTCCCTGCCATTTTTCATTGTCAGGTATCAAACATACCCTTAATAAGATATTAAAGGCTCTCTAAAATTTGAATCTAACCTACCCACATAGTAATATTACTCAACACTCCCTAATAATACAATCAAAGCATATTTTTTATTGTCCTCTGAATACACACATTACTTTCTTGTCTCACATTCTTCCATTATCTGGATTACTACTCCTTACTACTCTATTCCATCTCCTCTTAATTTACTGCCACCACTTCCCAAGGCTTACATCAACTGCCATCTCCTACACAACTGCCCTCTCTTGATTCACCAGCTATCATTATTCAATTCAATATAATTCAAACATTTATTATGAATTTACTATACAGATGGTCCCCGAATTAAGAAAGGTGCGATTTAATGATTTTCCAACTTTACGATAGTGCGAAATCGATATGTATTCAGTAGAAACATACTTAGAATTTTGAATTTTGATCTTTTCGTATCACATTACGGTACGTGGTAAAATACTCTCCTAATGCTGGGCAGCAGCAGGGAGCCACGATCATCAGGGTAAACAACTGGTACACTTACAACCATTCTATACCCATACAACCATTCTGTTTTTCACTTTCAATAAATTACAGGGGATATTCAACACTTTATTATAAAATAGGCTTTGTGTTAGAAGATTTTGCCCAACTGTAGGCTAATGTAAGTGTTTTGAGCAAGTTTAAGGTAGGCTAGGCTAAGCTATGATGTTCAGTAGGTTAGGTGTAGTAAATGCATTTTCACCTTAAGATATTTGCAACTTAGGATGGGTTTATCTGGATGTAACTCCATCGTAAGTCTAGGAAGATCTCTATTAAAGTAAATATGTTTTAGATTCTCATAGCATTTTGTAGTTCTCTTAAGGACCTAATTACTGTCTCCATGTATTTTATTAAGTGGGTACATCTCACATCTTTTATTTGATTATAAATTCCCTAAGGTCAGAAATTTTATTCTCCTCATCAGTGTATCCAAAAACATAGACTTTCAGTATTAATAAGAAGGTTAGAGATTATCTAGTACAGCTTCAGATTTTTTATAAATGAAAACAACAGACCCCCAAGAAGGTGTAGGTGATTTAAAGTCACACAGTCAATGAATTAACACAATACAGTGAAAGTGTTTCAACAGTGCCTGACAGAGCAGTCAACCAATACTTGCTATAGTTGTTGTTAGACTGAAAACCATTACCATCTGCCATCGTAACAAACTATTGCATTGAATAAATGACTAAGACATCATGTCCGTTTGCACACAGCAGTTAAGATTACTTTCTATGTCAGTTATGTTGACTCCATCTACTTCTACTTCCTATTCTACTTCCCACTCTTGTCCTAATATATTTATTCCCTATTGATTGTTAAAATCTATTAAAATCAAGGTCCTCAGCAAATCTCATTCTATCCATCAGCTTCACTTCCTACTCTGCCTCATTAAAATCAGACCTGTTAGAGTCTGTCCAAATCTGTGTTACTCAATGTGGTAGCTGCTAGCCACTAAAGCCTAGAGATGTGACTAGTCCAAATTGAGATGGACTGTAAGCGTAAAATACAAGATTTTGGAGCTTGTGAAGACTTGTTCGAAAAGATTTTTAAGACTCATTACAAAAAACGATATAGAATATCTCACTAATAACTTTTATATTAATTACATGTTAAAATGATAATACTTTGAATATATTGATTTAAATAAAATTATTATTAACATCAATTTTATCTACTTCTTTTAAGTTTTTAATGTACCTAGAAGAAAATTTAAAATTACATCTTTGGCTCTAATTTGTGGCTCATATGATATTTCCATTGAACAGCACAGTTCTAATTGTCCTCACTGGAAACTGAGTCTCTTTCCAATTTGTAATATATGCAAAAAGGCATGACTTTTTTCTCATCCTTAATTCTACAAATTCTGCCACCTTTAAAGGAATACTCTGTAGCTTTCCAAAAAGAAAGCAGGAAAAGCGGGTTAAAAAAATCAGATGGAACAAATAGAAAATAAATAGCAAAGTGGTTGACTTCAACCAACCATATGGATAATTATATAAATGTAAATATTCTAAGAATTCTAATTAAAATGCAGAAATTGTCAGATAGGACAAAAAAGCAGGACATGATATGCTGTCTCCAAAAAAATCACTTTAAGGTAAAGACACATAAAGAAAAAGCACTTTCAGAATGGTGGAGCAAATATCTCCAAAAATCAGCCTCTATAAAAGCAATGAGAACACTACCAAAAACTATCAAAATCAACTTTTTGCAGTTCTAGAAATTAACCAGAGGTTTGCAACAATATGAGGAGGAATTTATCCAATAAAAATAGCCGAATTTTGATAAAAACAGTAATATTGTGGTGTTTTAACATACTCTATTCCCAATCCCCTCTACTTAAGTCTTCTGTAGCCTTGAAAACCAAAGCCCTTACAATCAAGGTAGCCATGAAAACCAGCAGCCCCACAGCCACTAGAAAAGAACAGGTTTAGAACTACCCAAAAGCTGCATCCCCAGGGAACTGTCTTTATTTGACCTGTCTGAAAGTACCATGGAAACCCCCATTCACAGAGCTTCTCTTTATTTGGCCCAAATCAGAGCTTACTCACTGCAAACAGCCTTTCTCCCGAAGGTGTTTGTCAAAAACAATCAGCAGCAATTGTTTAACATCAGATGCCTAAGGCAGTGATCACAATTGGGGCAAAAAATAAGCTGATCAAAAAACTCACAAGTTGGGGGGTGTCTTTGACAGGCTATGTTATATTCTTGGCAATTTAGAAAATCAAGCACATGTGCAGGGCTGTGTGCATGCCTAGAAATAACCTGAGGAAGCCCTGATCTCTCATTTCTGGCTGACCTTGAGGCTTTGGGAAAGTTGGAAGTGAAGGCTACGACAGAGTTGTAAAGTGCCTGCAGGGCACAGAAAGCATGCCCCAACGTGCATACACAGATCCTCAGCAAAGGCTGGGAGATTTACTCGTTCAAGGAATTCAAGGAAATATAAGTCCAGTCATTAGCGAGCCACAAAGCTAACTGAGCGGACACTTCAGTGGCCACAAGTACAACAAAGAATACAGACTTTATTCAGGAAATAACTAAAAAAACAAAAAGTAACAACCACAACAGCAAACAATACACCCTGGGAAATAGGAAGAGTCTGAATAACAGAGTCCCACATTCTATTATTTAAAATGTCTAGTTTTCAACAAAAATTATGACATGCAAAGAAGTAACAGCACGGCCCATACACATGGAAAAAGGCAGTCAATATAAACTGTCCCTGAGGAAGCCCAGAAGTTGGGCTTACTAAACAAAGACTTTAAATCATCTATTATAAATATGGAAAAGGACCAAAGGAAACCTTGTCTAAAGATCTAAAGGAAAAGTATGGCAACATGGTAATGATGCCTCATCATATAGGGAATATCAATAAATATATAGAAATTATATTAGAAAAAAGAATGAAACAGAATTCTAGAGTTGAAAAGTACAAAAGAGAAATGTAGGCCGGCCTGGTGGCGCAAACGGTTAAGTGCACGTGCTCCGCTGCGGTGGCCCAGGGTTCACCGGTTTGGATCCCGGGCGCACACCGACGCACCGCTTGTTAAGCCATGCTGTGGCGGCATCCCATAGAAAGTAGAGGAAGATGGGCACGGATGTTAGCCCAGGACCAGTCTTCCTCAGCAAACAAAGAGGAGGATTGGCATTTGATGTTAGCTCAGGGCTAGTCCTCCTCACAAAAAAAAAAAAAAAAGAAATGAAAAATTCACTAGAGAAGCTCAAGAGCAGATATGAGCTGGCAGAAGAAAGAATCAGTGAACCTGAAAATACGTCAATTGAGATTATCCAGTCTGAGGAACAGAAAGAAAAATGAATATTCTCGGAGACCTGTGGGATCCCATCAAGTACAAAAACATAGATATAATGGGAGCCCCAGAAGGAGAGAAGAAAGGGCCACAAAAAAATATGTGAAGAAATAATGGATGAAAACTTCCATAATTTAAAGGAAAGCAATTTACACATCCAACAAGCTCAAAGAACTCCAAACCACACACATCATTACCCAATTTTCGAAAGACAAAGATGAAGAGAGAATCTTGAAAGCAGCAAAAGAGAAGTGATTCAGCAGGTACCAGAAACCCTCAATAGGATTAACAGCTGATTTCCCATCAGAAACATGAAGCCAGAAGGAAGCAGGATGACTTATTGAAAGTGCTGGAAGAAGACTCTTTCAAACAAGAATTCAATATCCAGAAAAATTTTTCTTCAAAAAGCAAGGAAAACTAAGACATTCTCAGATAAACAAAAACAGATAATTCATCACTGCAGAACTTCCCTACAAGAAA